CCACACCCACACCCACACCCACACCCTGACATAACATATGGTTTTATTGAAAAATGACGTGTAAGAAAAGATTTCTCATACGAAGTGTGACTTTTGGTTAATTTTCAAATGTTTGTGGAATATTTTGTATCTATCAGTAATTTATTATCAGATACTATTAACGCAATAAATGGAAAAATATTTGTAAAGTTATGTTAACTGATAGATGACTTATTTCACAATACACTGAGTAATCATTGAGGAAGAACAAAATGTCTTTTTCATTATTCGATAAAATTCGATTTCAATCAAGTAGCTAGGTGAATTATTTTACAGAAATAACTCTGAGTATATAGCAAAATGATGACTAAAAGATCTATGTGTAACAGAAAAACAAAATGTTCAGCAATTTATAATAAGAAATATTGATTTTGTACAGTTTATTATATTGTTAATTTTTGTTTTAGTGGACATGATGCTTAGTCGAAACGTTGTGCCAACTCCATAATGTCATTATGAACAGCTAATAAAAACACCAAAATCCGTGCAAAATTTTTACAATATCTTTTGGTTCAAATTATCTTCTCCGCAATGGAACAATAATTTCTCGTATTGTGATCGTGTCTTTTTCTGTTATTTCTTCTTGAAAACAAATAAATATTGCTGTTTGAATGAATGTATTACATGTTAATCTCGCACTTCCGTTTTCTGTTTACTTTTTTCTTATATATTTTATCCCACCTTTCTTTATTCATGCCATGTCTTATTCTGCGTAGTAAATTTGAAATAAATTATTTTTTTAATGTGGCATTGCAGAAAAGGTCTACACATTAGGGCCGACAAAAATAAAATAAAATGAATATATAACTGTAATTATAATTGGTTTAGTAAAACATTACGAATGCTCACACGGTCTCATTATCAATATGCAAACCCGTTTCTTGATTTATCTAGACGTTGTGATATAAACTTAGTTGTTTGAAGTTTACAAAAAGAAAGAAAATGGGTAACGTATTACGAAATTCTTCGCTTAGTAATGAAATTTGTTAACGATAATTTGCAAGTAAGCACAAAATAAAGACAGAGAGCTGACATGACTAGTCCGAAATGTCCGCAACACCCGTCAGGTCTAGTCTCAAAACGTCTTGCACACTCGTCATGGCTAGTGACCTTTTGGAGAAATGTCCTTCAAACACGTTTCGACTAATGTAGAAAGGTGAGAGGTGTGGTGTTGTGGGTGGGTGTGTGGGTGCAGGGCGTGGGTGTGTGTGTGAGTGGGTGTTGGGAACTCTTCAAATGCACCCACACCCACACCCTTCTTCTCAATTCATAGATTCTTTTGATCCTTACAAATCCTTCATCGTTTCTAACGGTTTTCATCTTCTGTGCTTTTGCGACAGTATATTTTCATGTATGATAAAGTTCAAACAGGTTTTGCACCGAAGATACCACTAGTCTTACGTGGCAAACATCATCAAAAATCTGTCTTTCTTGTTACCAGAATATTTGGTTCCGATAACAGTGCCAATAATGGCTGCAATAATGCCCATAGTCGTCAAGAAACACATTGGAAGGATGTATTGCTTCTTCCAATACTATGGTCGTCTTGTAAATCATATGAAAAAAAGTCTCATCAAAAATAAAATTAGATTAATAGGGGATCATCCTTACTTAACTACTGGATAAAGATGTGCACCTAAAGAAAGATAAAAGTTGTTCGATTCAAAATAAATCTATTTAACATATTTCGAATACAATCGAAAGGTGTTCGAGCGGTGCTTCTTCTGGTTCGACCAAGGGGGAAACAGCGGACTTCAAGACTTCAAAAGATTTCAACAGACTTCAACAGACTTCAGCCGCAGTGACTTCATATTTTCACAAGACTTCAAAAGACTTCTAAAGACTTCTGAAGACTTCATAGGACTTCAAATGACTTCGCAAGACTTCATAAG